GGACCGTTGTAGAAAAACAGTTTATGGGGTCATGTCGGACCGTTGTAGAAAAACAGTTTATGGGGTCATGTCGGACCGTTGTAGAAAAACAGTTTATGGGGTCATGTCGGACCGTTGTAGAAAAACAGTTTATGGGGTCATGTCGGACCGTTGTAGAAAAACAGTTTATGGGGTCATGTCGGACCGTTGTAGAAAAACAGTTTATGGGGTCATGTCGGACCGTTGTAGAAAAACAGTTTATGGGGTCATGTCGGACCGTTGTAGAAAAACAGTTTATGGGGTCATGTCGGACCGTTGTAGAAAAACAGTTTATGGGGTCATGTCGGACCGTTGTAGAAAAACAGTTTATGGGGTCATGTCGGACCGTTGTAGAAAAACAGTTTATGGGGTCATGTCGGACCGTTGTAGAAAAACAGTTTATGGGGTCATGTCGGACCGTTGTAGAAAAACAGTTTATGGGGTCATGTCGGACCGTTGTAGAAAAACAGTTTATGGGGTCATGTCGGACCGTTGTAGAAAAACAGTTTATGGGGTCATGTCGGACCGTTGTAGAAAAACAGTTTATGGGGTCATGTCGGACCGTTGTAGAAAAACAGTTTATGGGGTCATGTCGGACCGTTGTAGAAAAACAGTTTATGGGGTCATGTCGGACCGTTGTAGAAAAACAGTTTATGGGGTCATGTCGGACCGTTGTAGAAAAACAGTTTATGGGGTCATGTCGGACCGTTGTAGAAAAACAGTTTATGGGGTCATGTCGGACCGTTGTAGAAAAACAGTTTATGGGGTCATGTCGGACCGTTGTAGAAAAACAGTTTATGGGGTCATGTCGGACCGTTGTAGAAAAACAGTTTATGGGGTCATGTCGGACCGTTGTAGAAAAACAGTTTATGGGGTCATGTCGGACCGTTGTAGAAAAACAGTTTATGGGGTCATGTCGGACCGTTGTAGAAAAACAGTTTATGGGGTCATGTCGGACCGTTGTAGAAAAACAGTTTATGGGGTCATGTCGGACCGTTGTAGAAAAACAGTTTATGGGGTCATGTCGGACCGTTGTAGAAAAACAGTTTATGGGGTCATGTCGGACCGTTGTAGAAAAACAGTTTATGGGGTCATGTCGGACCGTTGTAGAAAAACAGTTTATGGGGTCATGTCGGACCGTTGTAGAAAAACAGTTTATGGGGTCATGTCGGACCGTTGTAGAAAAACAGTTTATGGGGTCATGTCGGACCGTTGTAGAAAAACAGTTTATGGGGTCATGTCGGACCGTTGTAGAAAAACAGTTTATGGGGTCATGTCGGACCGTTGTAGAAAAACAGTTTATGGGGTCATGTCGGACCGTTGTAGAAAAACAGTTTATGGGGTCATGTCGGACCGTTGTAGAAAAACAGTTTATGGGGTCATGTCGGACCGTTGTAGAAAAACAGTTTATGGGGTCATGTCGGACCGTTGTAGAAAAACAGTTTATGGGGTCATGTCGGACCGTTGTAGAAAAACAGTTTATGGGGTCATGTCGGACCGTTGTAGAAAAACAGTTTATGGGGTCATGTCGGACCGTTGTAGAAAAACAGTTTATGGGGTCATGTCGGACCGTTGTAGAAAAACAGTTTATGGGGTCATGTCGGACCGTTGTAGAAAAACAGTTTATGGGGTCATGTCGGACCGTTGTAGAAAAACAGTTTATGGGGTCATGTCGGACCGTTGTAGAAAAACAGTTTATGGGGTCATGTCGGACCGTTGTAGAAAAACAGTTTATGGGGTCATGTCGGACCGTTGTAGAAAAACAGTTTATGGGGTCATGTCGGACCGTTGTAGAAAAACAGTTTATGGGGTCTGAGATCCGGCGGGCGGTCAAGGCAAGGTTGCCGCCCGCCGAAAGGCGAAGAACACCAAGATCTTTAACCTTGCTCTGATACCATGTAAGAATTTATGTATTATTGATTGATATGTTGTTGTGTATATTACAAATGGTGAGTGACTCATTATATAGGAGAGGGTGAGTGTAGTAGGTGAGGAGTAGGTGGTGGTAGGTGATGGTAAATTGGTGGTAGGTGATGGTAAATTTTAACAATGATTAATATGTGAAATCTCATCAACCCCATTCAACACCCCAAGCACCGCAAAGCTCACACTAGGCCCCACCACTGGCCAAAATTTTTGAAAAAATAAAGCAGGCTTACCATCGGGCCCGAGAGCCTTCGTTGGATGCATTTGGAAAAGCGCATGGTGGACCTCAACTTCAGAAAATGGTCTACTCAATTGAGATGCACTGTGATCGGAAACTCTCGCCTGAATCAACTGCAATACTGGGCCCATGTTCAGTCCCTCACCCGCCGAAAATAATTCCTGAAAATAATTCACAAAATTGTCCTCCACCACTCTTTGATCCTCCTGCCAAATTCCATTAGGATCAACAATACCAGCAATTTTCTTCTTCTCTTGACGTTGGGTGGCCTTGGAATGAAAAAATGAAGTATTACGGTCCCCATCCTTTAGCCAATTAGCCCGAGCACGTTGACCCCAAAAAATAGATTCCCGTTCTAAAAGCTCATCAATATCACAACGTAGCTTACACATTTCTACAACATCGTCCGAAAAATTGGAACTTAGCGTAAGCAACCGCTGTAATTGATCGGTTTTCTCCTTCAACTGTCGCTTAACACATCCAAAAACATTACGATCCCACCATCGCAACGAAGAACTTACATGTGCAATAGTAGAGACCAAACTTCGAACATCCGCATTAGAAGAAGGCAGCCAATTATCGGCAACTACTTGCTCACAACTTGCATGCCATAGCCACATAGCTTCAAACCGATACATGCGATGACCACTAGCAGGAGATTGACGTTGGTCTTTAGCCCCACAAATGTCAACACAAATAGGTAGGTGATCGGAGGATATGCACGCCATAGGATAAACCTTTGCATGTGGAAACAAGAGTTACCAAGCATCATTAGCAAACCCACGGTCCAATCGTTCCCGAACCAAAGCGTTGCCACCGCGGTTATTGGACCAAGTGAAAATTGGCCCAACAAAACCCAGATCAGCCAGGTGTGCATCTGCGATAACATTTCAAAAATGTTCCATTTGGGATTGACTACGCCCCACGACGCCACACTTCTCGCGACAAAACAAAATTTCATTAAAATCACCAGCACAAAGCCAAGGCATTTGGAAGCATGTTGCTAGTCTACGCAATAATGCCCAAGAATTTTTCCGTTGTGCCATTTCCGGGTGTCCGTAAAATCCCGTAAATCTCCAAGGGTGTTCCCCCAATCCAGCGTCCACAAATACGTCAATATGACCAACCGAATAACTTTTCACACTAACCTGGATACCCGCTGGCCATAACAAAGCAAGTCCGCCCGCAAGTCCAACTCGGTTAACATAAAAACCACCACAAAATCCCAGTTTTTGTCGAATCCCATCCATATGCTTCGAATCGAGCTTGGTCTCCATGAGAAAAACCAGCCCAGGAACTTCCGTTTTCAGTAGAAACTGAAGAGATCGAACTGACCGTGGGTTCCCAAGCCCGCAACAGTTCCAGCATAACACATTCATTAGGATCAGCGGGGCTGAACATCAGCCTCCACCGTTGAAATATTGTTATATGGGTTGATAACATCACCCCCATGCACACACAAACGTTTCCCAGCCTTCACATCCCAAGTTTCATCACTCAGATTCCCATCATTAACTACCACCTCCTCAAGTACTCTCTTAGTCCCCGTAACAGGGGAGTGAACAGTATTGGGGTCCATATGTTGACGGGCCACCCTCTTCCACTTCTTTTTGGGCAACACTGATTCACTCAGTGGGCTAGTCTCAACCTCCATCAAAAGATTAGGAGCCAGGGGAGAAAATTGGGCCACCAAACCTGACTCAATTGCCGTGGGCTTGGGCCCACCTAGGCCCAAACTGGAATGTTGAGATTGATGCCCCGACCCTCCTTCTGCAGTAACCTCCCGCCCATTCATAAATTCAAAAGTAGCAGACGTGGGTGAAGATATGGTACTGCTCGAAATTGTAGCCACATGTACCGCGTTTCCTTTACCAATGCCATCAATCACGGGAATCAGAGTTTCTCCACCGTGTGCATTCCTATCCCGACGCCGGTTAGCTACCACAACCACCGGAGCACAGAGTGGCGAAACACTCTGCGGTGCCCCCTCCTCCTGATTCACATGTTCAGGAATCATCCGCATCGGTGTCCCCTGACCACCAGGAGGCCTCATCCCTACTCCTCGATCAATCGGACCAGTGAGATGAGGCCCTTTGCTTTTGAAAGTATCTATTCTCAACCATGCCCCATATTGCAACACATCAACCCGAGTGTCATCGGCAGAAGAGAGTTTAGCATCACACTCCCGATCGCTGTGGCCGAGTCTTCCGCAAAAATAGCAATAAATCGGAAGGCGCTCATATTTGAAATCCACCCAGATAGGGTCGGCAGAGGACAAAGCAAATTTCATCCCCCGTCGTAGGGGCTTCAGAATTGGTTATTTTAGTTGATTTTTTGACTTTATACGAAAAGACGTACAAAAAAATAAAAAGAATTATGTAATTGGGTGTAATGGCTTATTGACTATTTTAACTCAACCCAACTTACCAAAAGGAGCCTTAACTATATCATTAGAGCACATCATCACTCTCTAAACTAACAAATTATCATACTTAACCGAGATGTTCGCACTATTCCCAACACGCCATCGAAGCCCAGCATTTAATAGACTTCGAGATCCGACTATACTCCTCCAGGTGAAAGATGAATTGCTCCCGACCAAAGCATCGAGAAATGAAGTTTGAGGAAAGTACCTAGCCTTAAAGACCCGTGCAACCAAAGATTGAGGCCGCTGCACTAATTGCCAACACTATTTGGCCAACAAAGCTGAATTGAAATGTTGAAGGCACCGAAATCCCATACCACCCTGTAATTTAGACTTACACAATTGTTTCCAGCTAGTCCAATGAATTTTTCGGGTTTCCTCTTTTTGTCCCCATCAAAAATTGCACACCATAGACTCAATTTCATGGCACACTCCATCAGGGAGGCGAAAACAGGACATAATAGAAGTGGGTATGGCTTGAGCAACAGACTTAATGAGTACCTCTCTACCCGCCATCGATAAAAAATTTTCCTTCCAACCATTTACTCGAGTCCATACGTGCTCCTTAACAAACCCCAAAACGGCGCACTTAGAATGCCCCACACAATATGGTAACCCCAAATACTTCCCGTACGGCGCCAATGAGCCCACCCCAAGAATAGATGTCACCACTCGCTGAGTAACCAAGTCCGTATTTTTACTAAAACAAACAGCCGATTTTTGGAAATTAATTTTCTGCCCTGATGCTTGCTCATACTTTTGGAGAATATCTCGCAAAACACCCGCCTCATCTTCCTTAGCAGCCGCAAATAGAAGACTATCATCGGCAAAAAATAAATGCGACAAGCATGGACTACCCCGGCAAATTGAAATTCCGGACAACCGGTTAGCTGCCATAGCATGGGCGAGGAGCGCCGACATTCCTTCCGCACAAATAGTAAACAAATAAGGCGAAAACGGATCCCCTTGGCGGAGGCCCCTTGCTGGGTAAAACATTCTGGAAGGCTTCCCATTAACAAGCACAGAAAAAGAAACAGTGGACACACAATTCATAAGTAGTTGCACAAACCGTTGCGGAAATCCTAACAGGAGCATCATTTGATTAATAAATGGCCATTCCACTCTGTCATAGGCTTTACTCATGTCAAGTTTCAACGCCAGGCAACCATCCTTTTCGGCCCTCTTATTCTTGAGAAAATGGAACACTTCAAATGCCACCAACGCATTATCAGTAATGAGACGGCCCGGAACAAACGCACTTTGAGTGTCGGAAATTACAGAAGGCAGCACCTCTTTAAGACGATTGGCCAACATTTTTGCAATTATTTTATAGACAACATTACACAAGCTAATTGGCCGGGAATTCTGACATGAGCTTGGGATTCTTAATTTTAGGAATCAGCACAATGAAGGTATGATTAATATGTGAAATCTCATCAACCCCATTCAACACCCCAAGCACCGCAGAGCTCACACTAGGCCCCACCACTGGCCAAAATTTTTGAAAAAATAAAGCAGGCTTACCATCGGGCCCGGGAGCCTTCGTTGGATGCATTTGGAAAAGCGTATGGTGGACCTCAACTTCAGAAAATGGTCTACTCAATTGAGATGCACTGTGATCGGAAACTCTCGCCTGAATCAACTGCAATACTGGGCCCATGTTCAGTCCCTCACCCGCCGAAAATAATTCCTGAAAATAATTCACAAAATTGTCCTCCACCACTCTTTGATTCTCCTGCCAAATTCCATTAGGATCAACAATACCAGCAATTTTCTTCTTCTTATGACGTTGGGTGGCCTTGGAATGAAAAAACGAAGTATTACGGTCCCCATCCTTTAGCCAATTAGCCCGAGCACGTTGACCCCAAAAAATAGATTCCCGTTCTAAAAGCTCATCAATATCACAACGTAGCTTACACATTTCTGCAACATCGTCTGGAAAATTGGAACTTAGCGTAAGCAACCGCTGTAATTGATCGGTTTTCTCCTTCAACTGTCGGCTAACACATCCAAAAACATTACGATCCCACCATCGCAACGAAGAACTTACATGTGCAATAGTAGAGACCAAACTTCGAACACCTGCATTAGAAGAAGGCAGCCAATTATCGGCAACTACTTGCTCACAACTTGCATGCCATAGCCACATAGCTTCGAACCGATACATGCGATGACCACTAGCAGGAGATTGACGTTGTTCTTTAGCCCCACAAATGTCAACACAAATAGGTAGGTGATCGGAGGATGTGCACACCATAGGATAAACCTTTGCATGTGGAAACAAGAGTTGCCAAGCATCATTAGCAAACCCACGGTCCAATCGCTCCCGAACCAAAACGTTGCCACCGCGATTATTGGACCAAGTGAAAATTGGCCCAACAAAACCCAGATCAGCCAGGTGTGCATCTGCGATAACATTCCGAAAATGTTCCATTTGGGATGGACTACGCCCCACGACGCCACACTTCTCGCGACAAAACAAAATTTCATTAAAATCACCCGCACAAAGCCAAGGCATTTGGAAGCATGTTGCTAGTCTACGCAATAATGCCCAAGAATTTTTCCGTTGTGCCATTTCCCGGTGTCCGTAAAATCCCGTAAATCTCTAAGGCTGTTCCCCCAATCCAGCGTCCACAAATACGTCAATATGACCAACCAAATAACTTTTCACACTAACCTGGATACCCGCTGGCCATAACAAAGCAAGTCCGCCCGCAAGTCCAACTCGGTTAACATAAAAACCACCACAAAATCCCAGTTTTTGCCGAATCCCATCCATATGCTTCGAATCGAGCTTCGTCTCCATGAGAAAAACCAGCCCAGGAACTTCCGTTTTCAGTAGAAACTGAAGAGATCAGACTGACCGTGGGTTCCCAAGCCCGCGATAGTTCCAGTATAACACATTCATTAGGATCGGCGGGGCTGAACATCAGCCTCCACCGTTGAAATATTGTTATATGGGTTGATAGCATCACCCCCTTGCACACACAAACGTTTCCCAGCCTTCACATCCCAAGTTTCATCACTCAGATTCCCATCATTAACTACCACCTCCTCAAGTACTCTCTTAGTTCCCATAACAGGGGAGTGAGCAGTATTGGGGTCCATATGTTGACGGGCCACCCTCTTCCACTTCTTTTTGGGCAACACTGATTCACTCAGTGGGCTAGCCTCAACCTCCATCAAAAGATTAGGAGCCAGGAGAGAAAATTGGGCCACCAAACCTGACTCAATTGCCGTGGGCTTGGCCCCACCTAGGCCCAAACTAGAATGTTGAGATTGATGCCCCAGTCCTCCTTCTGCAGTAACCTCCCGCCCATTCATAAATTCAAAAGTAGCAGACGTGGGTGAAGATATGGTACTGCTCGAAATTGTAGCCACATGTACCGCGTTTCCTTTACCAATGCTATCAATCACGGGAATCAGAGTTTCTCCACCGTGTGCGTTCCTATCCCGACGCCGGTCAGCTACCACAACCACCGGAGCACAGAGTGGCGAAACACTCTGCGGTGCCCCCTCCTCCTGATTCACATGTTCAGGAATCATCCGCATTGGTGTCCCCTGACCACCAGGAGGCCTCATCCCTACTCCTCGATCAATCGGACTAGTGCGACGAGGCCCTTTGCTTTTGAAAGTATCCATTCTCAACCATGCCCCATATTGCAACACATCAACCCGAGTGCCATCGGCAGAAGAGAGTTTAGCATCACACTCCCGATCGCTGTGCCCGAGTCTTCCGCAAAAATAGCAATAAATCGAGAGGCGCTCATATTTGAAATCCACCCAGATAGGGTCGGCAGAGGACAAAGCAAGTTTCATCCCCCGTCGTAGGGGCTTCCGAACATCAATGGCCACTCGAATTCGCATTGTTCGGCCCCATGCAATTCCACCATCTTCAAAATCCATATCAAGAAACTGTCCAACAGAGTTGCCAACTATTTGCCCAACCTCTTTATTCATAAGAATTAGAGGAAGATTGCAAACATGCACCCAGAAGTGCACCGATGTCAATTGAATGTCAGATGGTTGAACATTTGGATCCATCTCGCCCAACATTAGAAGGTGCTTATCAAACGTCCAAGGGCCGTTCAATAATACTCTCCGTTTATCCACAACATGACCAAACACGAAAACAAATAGGTTGTCACCAATGACTCGTACTTGCATTCCTTTAGTGGGTTGCCACACCGATAGCAGAGTACTCTTCATGGCGTCAACATTAAAAGGCCTACGAGTGAGCAACTTGCCGACAAGGCACATATCCGATTTGCCCATCATCAAGCTTGTAGAGTCCCCCCCCAAGCCTCACAACTGTGTCCTCCGAAGTGAGAGATAGCGTACAAGTAAGGTCGAGAAGGGAGTCAGCCATCGCTTCACTACCACCTCCGCCAACCTTCTATCACAAAAAAAGAACTTGCACAAGGCAAGAAAAAAACCTCCACTCTAGAGAGAGAGGACTTATTACAAAAAAAAGAATCGATAAATAAACAGATTTTGTATGTTGTTACTTTTTCCATGACATGCTATAGTACGCCATTAAAAATTATTTAACAACAAATTTTGTGCGTCGTCGTTACTTTTTTACGACTACTTTTGCACGCCGTTAATTGGTGAGACAAATAATGACGCTGATTGCGCGCTGTAAAATATGTAATATAATGACTTATTATGCCTGCCGTAGAATATGCAATTTTTTTTTTTTAAAATTTAGCAGGTTCTATTTGACCAATTTTATACAATCTAACAACTATTACAAACAAGTATCACAAAACATCAATCAACCACCAAAATATTATTTGAAATATCACAAAGAAACTATATCGATAAATTATAAACATTCAACAATTGTCTTTACATTCCAAACATTCGAAAATATATCCTTAAGTTCTAAACTATACAAAAAGTTTAAACCATCCAAAACTATGCATATCTAATTTTCTAAACATATCGACAACTATTAAGAGATTATCTAATTTGTCAATGATTCATTATTTGAGCCACCATTAAGTACTTCTTTTACTTATAAATTTGTCGTCGACATTAACGTTCGCTTATTGATTCGGCGAAGTCGGCGATCGCTGTTCCGTTTCCTTTTTCAGAATCAATAGCAATGCAGGTTCACTGCCTCATTTAGTTCCTTCCCACAAACTGTTGCTTTCAAGTTTGACTGGCAAGTCGGGTCATCCACACCTATTTGGTTGCCGAGTTTATTACCCTGATGACTACCTCTGTTCCGTTTCCTTTTTCTAGATTCAGTAGTAATGCAGTTTTCATTGTCTCCATCCAGCTCCTTTCCACAAACTGTCACCTTCAAGTTTGATTGGCAAGTCGGAACATCCACACCTCCATGGTTGCCAACTTTCATGCATCCGTGACTTACTGGTTGCTTTGCAAGATAATACTTACAAACAAGCTGATAAGCCAATTTTGCAAGAGACTGACCAGAGACAGACTTGGGGATGGGTGGCCTGGAAAGGTTCACAAAGTGTAGCAGAAGACATGAGAACAAATACAAGGAATGGTTTCTAATAAAACAAAGACCAAGTAACATTAACAAAGTCAAGTGACCTGAATCATTGCCTAATTGGGTATGAGATCATGTTTTTTTTTTTTATAAATAGAGCTGTAAATGATCCAATTCGAACCAAGTATTTGGTTGCTTGAGCCTGATTTTAAAAAACTTTTTTGAGTTTTGAGATATCTGCTTAATACTTGTATAGTTCAAGTAGGGATCAACAAACTTTCATTTAATGATGCTATTTGAGTCATGGAACCAATGCCTTGTGCAATGGACCAGCGGTTAAGCTTCAGCCTATAAGCACAAGCATGTGGGTTAAAGGCAACCATTTTATGCAAATAATCAGGTCATGCATTCAACTATATAGGAAATGGGTGTTTAAATTACTCTAGCTAACTCATATTAAAAGAAGTGGAAGCCTTATCTATTTGGCTCGAGCCTTCGCATAAAATGAACTAGCTATTGGTTGCAAGCAGACTCATGGATCCAACACGTAATTACTACAAAAGAAAAGGACAAATCTGGAAGCTCTCACCTTTTAGGAACTATGCGTCCAAGAAGGGACGATTTCTCATGCCATAGAATAGGTGAATGTAGGACATCTCGCTTTTTGACTGCCTGATACAAGACAAGTACAAGATGCATGACAAGCAAAATAAAGACTGAAATAAGGCTCAATGCAACTATCATGAATAAAGGAATAAACACTGATATATTCATTCAATAAGAATGAAATAGATATGATATTATTCACAACATGCCAATCAAGGAAACATGGCATAATATGACTTAACCATGATTGAGTAGATTTTGCACAACACATGAATTCAACAAAATCTTTTTAGACTTTTGAACATTACTTGACTGGTTGGATTTCAAACTCGCAACAATGTATAAACGTTACATACCTTCTCAGGCACAGTCACTCCTGGTGGTTTTGGGATGTGAGAATGAAATGAAGGGTATTTACTGAAATAAGGCTCAATGCAACTATCATGAATAAAGGAATAAACACTGATATATTCATTCAATAAGAATGAAATAGATATGATATTATTCACAACATGCCAATCAAGGAAACATGGCATAATCTGACTTAACCATGATTGAGTAGATTTTGCACAACACATGAATTCAACAAAATCTTTTGACTTTTGAACATTACTTGACTGGTTGGATTTCAAACTCGCAACAATGTATAAACGTTACATACCTTCTCAGGCACAGTCACTCCTTCTGGTGGTTTTGGGATGTGAGAATGAAATGAAGGGTATTTATAGAAGACAGATCTGAAAAAGACGAAGAAAGTGAACAATTAATAGTTGACAAGGAACTGGTGATGTACCACTTGGTACAGTCTATGTTCAAAGCAAACATAACCGTCCCCAGAAACATACAGGACTTCGTTCTTTATAATCATCGGCATATCACCAAGTGGATTAATCTCCAGAGGACACACAGGTTTATCAGAAATATAAATGTATCCATTCATCCCACCGCTGCATGAAAGTTCAGTCAGCAGTAGAATGGTAAAAAAAAAACTAACTGGAATATAATCATTTTTTAAAAATTACTTCAACTGAAAGGCAAACTTCAATTAGCACTCCTAAGGAGCAAATAATAGAATAAGATCATCTTATAGTCTAGAGCAGCATAGCATGACAAAAAATCATGTGAAGCTTGCAAAACAAGTAACCATGTACTACCAAAGGTTTAAAATTTCATAAGGTTGAACAAGGAATAGATGTCAACACAGATTGTTCTCCAATGGTCCACAACTCAGGAAATTGCGACAAGGTTTCTTTGTGAGGTGGACAACACCAGGGGGTGATCATAGTCTCTGACACACCAGATGATAGTGGTGAAACATGTGAATTTATGAACTATCAAGCTTGGATACCACTTCAAGAGTTACTAGGTCATTAGCCAATTGAAGGCTCTCCTAGGGCATTGAGTCCCATATTGGTGGAATCAAATGGACATAAATTTACTTTTTAGGACACAGGCTGCATCTACATATTTTAGCTGGGGGAAACTGAAACTGACATGGGAAACAAAGTGCTCTATGATGGACTTCAGGAAAGGAACAACAGCATCCCATGACAAGCCCCAACAGTGATCAGCTAGTGATTTTAAAACATACATAGAAATACATATGTGCACATATCAATAAGCAGTCGGCTGTGCAGCTCACTCATGCACATAACTGAGTATCAAAAAAGATTAGAAAGAGAAACCAGAAAGATTGTCAATAGCGGAGAACAAAAGGGGGGGGGGGGAGGAGAGAGATTTTGGAGAAACAAAAACTGGATGAGTAATCTGGGATACTGCCTCTGGGAGCTCCAATGTTCAATCTACTTAAATTGAAGTGAAATGAAGACCAATTCTAGGCAGCCCAGAGCATACATGGATTTTATTCAGGTGCAGTTTTGGCACAAAAAGTACGGCCTCTATTGAAAGACTCTGGATACTACATTGTCAACAGTCCCCACATATTCAAAGATGTGCATAACCAAGGCTATAAGCATAGCGTCAACTAGAATACTACTAGTAATGCCATGCCGAGTTTGCGTTATGGAGCCTCTATAAGGCCTGCATCACTGTGCATACAAACAAAACTACTAGTGCACCAGCAAGTCAATCATTGATGAAATATGAAACATGTTGAGCATGAGACAAATCCTTCAAACAGAGGCAAGAAGAGAAATGCTCAAAGTAAACGTAAGGCGGTAAGTCACCTCAGCTAGTCATGGTGGTTGTCATCCAATGGCTGTCCAATAGTTTAAGCTATTAGAGAATAGATCAGACTATTTATATCAAGTTCTCACACCTTCTTTGACATGAGAAACACTTGGCACACAGAGATGGATGGACAGACAATATGGAGTACAACCAGACAGAAAAGGGAGAACAATGCAACTAGAAATACCTGAACCTAAGAACTCCTAGAATCAAAACTCTAATACTATGTTAGACAACCACTTTCTCAAAAGTTGAAACTATTAGAAAACATGCCAAAGAAAGTACACCAAGCCCATAGTAATGTCAGGTCTAGCTTCACTTTCTAAACAATTTGTTACCTCTCAACATTCCAAAACTATCCTCTAATTGATGGTTACATCCAAAGTCGAGTTTTTTCATTTACTCAGCATTCCCAAACTACAAAACTAAAAAAAATCAACTAAGCTTTAGTCCAATTTACTTGAGACTGGGAGCATGGATCTGTTCTCTCAATTGATGTTATTCGAAGCCATATCCTTAATCAAATCCAAGCCAATCATGCTCTTTTTCGCTGACTAAAACCATGTCGTTAACCTTCCTCTTATCATATTAGTACCTTCCACCTGGATAAATTCACTCTTCACCGAGCCATTACTTGGTCTATGTTGCACATGGCCAAACTATCTTAAACGGCTTCTCCTCATATTATCATCAGTTTTTTTCATTTATCATATATATATATATATTATCATCAGTTTGTTTCAAAATTTGGAAAACAAGAAATCAAAGTAGAGAATGACCACTAGCATTAAACAAATGTGCAAACAATGGTCGGCATTCTTTGCTCCTTGTCCCTTCTCCTCCCATCTCCCTCTCTTGACACCACCATAACTCCCATAAGAGACACCATTGACTGCTTAAGTCTCACTAATACAAAGCAAATTTTATGGAGTAAAACAAACCAATAAAAATTAAAGAAAAGGAAACATTAGCACAATAAACTCAACTCAAGGAAATTAATTTTAAAATATACATAGTTTGAGTGTTGCTAGTATACTTTGACATAAGAAGCATGGACACTTTTAAGAAGGTGGCATGTCCATGTTGGTCCATGTCGACACGGATACCAACACTCATCGGACACTACTAAACATATGTCATTTTGTTAAGACCAAGATACTCTTTGGACACTTGAAGGACACATATATCCATTGCTTAAACACCCATAAACTAATTATAAGTTAGAACAACAATGATAAGAGAAAAGCGATGTAATTTTATAGAAATTAGTATTATGTTTCTACACTGAAAAGGTTAGGGAGTTACACAAGAAAAAGAATTGTAGTGAGAAAAACAAGTATAAGGTTAGAGATTACCACTGTACACGAAAAGTTGTGTACTCTATCCAATAATCTACTGATCTTCATGTTAAAGAGAAAACCTTACACTTTAGATGGAGATGCAGAAGAAGCAGCAGCACCAAACCAACTTCTATTTGACAATTAAATTAGCAGGTGAGCACAAACATGTGTAGAATTGTATTTGTTAACTTAAAAAGGTTACCCCAACATAAGAAAAGTAATATTGTGAATAGAAAGATCTATGGACTTTGTTTCCTGAGATATTTTCTAGGCTCTAAAAGCCTAAATTGAACCATTCTCCGTCTCTATGTGGTTGCACACAGCAATTTTAACCATAATAGAAAATGTACCACTCTAATGTATGTTACTGTTAAATTATGACTAAGATTCATAAGAAGTGTTCATACTGCTATTGTCCAAGAACAATAAAGGGAAACATTCTTGTTTTGAATGAAATTAGTCTCAGGACTATACATCATTTTCCAGGTCCAGGGGATAACATCAGCAAATAGGGTCGATGAATACATTCTTTGCTATTTGATGTTGCATTTCCATCATCAGCTGTGAGTCTGTGACTAACTCATACCAGGTCCATAAATAGAACTTTCTGGCATTAGCATCACTGAAATTAGTTCATATCATACAAGAAACAGAAATAAATTTATAGTAGGATTTGCTTAATCCATATCAGTTCCACCCCAAATTCCCAATCCAGGTGCTTAGGTTCATATTACCATGATAAATGGGCTTATGCTAAACAATTTAATATTATATACATATCTATATATACTATTATAAAGAGAAGCCTTCTTTTGGTGTCTATGTCTCAAATTATAGGTTTTCCCAAAATATGCCTATATCAGCACTAAGCCAAAATCAATTCAAACCATCTTCATAAATTCAAAATGTAGATCAGGTCAATTGAACAAACACAACACAACAATTCATCTTCAGAAACACACACACACACACACACACATATATATATATATACATGACATATTACTCATCCACACAATTAAATATATATACATACATAGAGAGAAATATAGACGAGTAAGGTTACCTCAAGTATCATAAAGATCTAACCATTTTTATGTAATGGAAAAGCTATTTTCTCTTGAAATTTCTTGCATTAGCAAGTAAATGGGCTCCAAATTAGTAACTACCATGATGCGCATTCCAATTAAAATAGCACTCACAGCAATTACTACAACCAGCCTGTTAATAATAGGGGCATCAATCCAGGAAAAATGCACCTCACAATGCTTTGAGCATTTTCATATATACTGCACAAAATCCTTATATTATTTTAACTTATCTTCTATTAATTTGGTGTATTCACTAGAACTGCAGTAATCATCAGGACCAAGCCTTAATGTATGGGTTGATATTTGCCAAAGAACAATATATTTCCTTGTATCTAGTAATTATGTGTCGTTTCCAATCATATGTGCGAGGCTAATGAAGTTGAAGAGAAACAAAAGACAACGAAGGTAAGATACCTCAGTCTAAATCAGATCTAGCAAACAGAGAAATCCTAGCATGGGATTATTGTTATTTTCAACATAAATCATTTGAAGAAATTCAATCAAAACTAGTCAAACAACTTCTTTTCTTTTCTCTTCTAACTTATCTAATAAGTTATTTTCTTTTCTTTTCTTTACTAAATTACCAAACAGAGTGCCAGTTTTCTATGTAACCAAACAGAGAGAGAAAAGGCAAAAATTTGCTACCCATAAAGGAGGGAAGCTCCTCAAGCCTCAAAAGTCGAAAGAAAACCTTCATGAGAGGGAATGGAATATATATGTGTGTGTGTGTATTGGGATGCATCAGCAACTACCTTAAGTACAACCAACATTTCCCAAATCTGAAAAACAATTTTTAAAAAACAAAAACACCGAAAACAAAATAAACAACTAGCAAACAGAGAAATCCTAGCATGGGATTATTGTTATTTTCAACATAAATCATTTGAAGAAATTCAATCAAAACTAGTCAAACAACTTATTTTCTTTTCTCTTCTAACTTATCTAATAAGTTATTTTCTTTTCTTTTCTTTACTAAATTCCCAAACAGAGTGCCAGTTTTCTATGTAACCAAACAGAGAGAGAGAAGGCAAAAATTTACTACCCATAAAGGAGGGAAGCTCCTCAAGCCTCAAAAGTTGAAAGAAAACCTTCATGAGAGGGAATGGAATATATATGTGTGTGTGTGTATTGGGATGCATCAGCAACTACCTTAAGTACAACCAACATTTCCCAAATCTGAAAAACAATTTTTAAAAAACAAAAACACCGAAAACAAAATAAACAAGAAAAATACACAAATAGAAAGCAAACCCATAACCACAAAACACCAAAAAACCAAACCCAGAACCTAAAATCAGAAATTGAAGGGCACATATCAAACTGGTTATGAACAAATTGAGAAGATTAATTGAAGTAAGGAAGCAAAAATAGGTAAATTGATGGAAAACCATAACAGAAAAGAAGTGGAATTCATAGAAGCATAGTCGGGATGGTTACCAATCATGGCGGCAGCAGTTTTAGCGGCCAATTCATTGAGTTGCCTGGTGGTGACGCCCTTGAGCTTCTTGAAACGGGCAATGATCTTATTGAAATGTAGAGTCTCTTGACGCCCATCTCTTTTCACAACATACATCTTTAAAAAGCTCCCAAACTAGATAGATAGTAAACAATTTTCAGAAAGGACTTTCGTCAAACAGGTTTGGTGCACAATGTGGCTGATCCAACCAAATCAAACAACAATCAGATGCCCAATTACACACATATACATACTTCGAATTTCCATTTCCGCCATTAGGGTTTGGAAATCGAACAATCAGATACCCAATCACACACACACATATAGAAATCACTGAAGCTTTACACATATATATATATATATATATAACTTTGAACATAGATCATGAACCAACAAAAATCGAACACAGATTTGGCCTCCATCGTTCATCTCGGTGGCTGTAGCAGCGGAGAAAGAGCCTTCACATCTTAGATCTACCATAAATCTAACAGATTTGAAGCCTTCATATCTTATATCGTCGTTCGAGAATGGCACGAAGACGGTGAAGATGGTGGTGGTGGTGGTGGTGTGTGGTGGATGTGAGGGTGAAGACAGTGGCAGCTATGGAAGAGGAGTAAACGGCGGGGAGACCGTCGTCAATCTGGTAAGGAAAAGAGAAGATGGAGAGAGAGAGAAAAAATGTAGAGAAAAGTAAGCCGCCGGAAGCAAATACATGTCCTGAAGCAATAGGCCGAGAAGAGCGAGAGAGAGGTTGGTAACAAAGGTGATGGCGGTGGCCCGACAGTCACAGTGGCAGTGGCGGTAGCGTCGGAGGCAAAGGGGAGAGAGATGAAGTGTAACCATGTATGGGTTTGAAGAGTTATAAGGGTTTTTGATGATGATGAGTAGAATGTTAGGTTCTGGTTTTGGGTTGAAGAGTTGGAGTTTTTGATTTTTTTTCTTTTTTCTTTTTTTTTTTTTTTTTTTTTTTTTGGTATTTGACGCTCAAAATTTTTATTTTGGCATTGTTTTTTATTTTGATCATTCTATTCACGACAAAAATTGCATGATGTGAAAAGTAAAATATTTTTAACGGGTTAGGGTATGTGTGTCATGAAAAGTGTTCTTTTTAACGACTAATTTTTTGTACGTCGTAAAAAGTGTAATATTTTTAACGGTTGACCTTTTGTGTGCCGTGAAATATTCAATATTTTTAACGGCTAATGTACGCGTGTCGTGTATAGTTGATGTTTAACAGCAGGCCAAATACACGTCGTAGAAAGTTTTATTATTTATAGCTAATATTGCAAGTCGTAAAAAAATCATCATTATTAGCATTCACGGCCTACTCAATAGACACGTCGTGGTTGGGAAACTATTTACGACATGCAAAAAAAGAAAATCGTAAAATTGAGAAACCACGACTTGTATTTACTGTATGTCGTTAATGTGAAGCCGTAAAAACTCAATTTTGTTCACATAGTCTAAATTTATAGATTGTAAAGAATAAAAGTAAAATTGATACAAATTACAAGAATGACGATATAATTTGCCCAAGAATATAGTGAACATTGAAACTTAACCAATAAGACACAGAATCAATCTCGTGTTCCTGTAGAGAGAAATTCATAAGAGTAAAACTAAATTCATACAGATATAAATATAATTACAAAATATTTTGAGAGTAATGCATGTTTCATGCTTTTGAGGAGGACCCTGCAACTAATTGTGCTCACCCCTGCATGATTTATCACAGAACAAAGTGACTTTTCACCTGCATGTTTTATCACAGAACAGAGTGACTTTTCACCTCCCCTCACAAACAGCTGAAGTGAAGAACCATAACCGTTATATAAATATGTATATATAATATACAAAATGGGTTTAACTTTTTTTTTTAAGTTGTCATCTCAACTTGAGAGAACATTTAAATTTAATAAATCCATTTTGAAACCGATTTTGATCAAAATCGTTCAAATTTTTAGACTCGTTGACTAGAATGTTCATGCAAAAAATTAAGATAATTGAACATCAATAGCTATATGTTTGAATCATATTTGTTTTGAAAAAGTGGACCGCAAATATGATTTCAAGAATAACCACTTATTTTTTATAATACAAATTTGGTTCAAACATATAACTACTGATGTCCGATTATTTTGATGTTTTGCATGAGTATTCTACTCAACGAGTCCTAAAAAGTAAACGATTCGAATCATCAAAATAGGACCTGTGGTGGGCTCCACGAGCCCTTTAAATTCTCTCAGGTTAAGAAGTTAACATGAAAGAAGCCTAATCCATATAAAACTGTATATCTATCTATACTATTGTAAAACAACAGTTACAGTAGTATAGACAAAGCCGACGCTATAACTGCTTAGACAATGATAGATTATCATTCAAACTTTGGAAGACAAATACAGATAATTTCTCATTTTTTAAAGTTATTTTACTATTACTAGTATAATAATATACATAGGTGCGACCGCCCCCTAGATCCATCCATGTGCTTAGAGCAATATTTATTAATATACTGTTTGACATATACTAGTAATATACTGTCTATTTTCTTTGACAACTAGTAATAATATACTGGTGTCATTAACAATTCAGAATATTTATTTGTGAAGTTTGTTAGAAATTAATTTTTGGTTTTCAAAAATAATTTATGAGTGTTCATTAATTCAAATTCTGTTTCAGTATCTTAATTATTGGAGTGTTATAGAAATTTAATTTTTTGTGTGGAATTAATTTGTTTAAATAAAATTTTATTTTATTTTCAAATTAATTGAAAATAAAAGTTATAATTCTTGTTTCTTTTATTTTTATAGAATTTAATTCTATGGTTTTGGTTTATTTTCTGTGTAGTATAAAATTCTAATTCTAATTTTATTTTATAATTTAGAATTCATGGCTACAGAAACTACTGCTTAAACAAGTACTGGTATGGTGACTGCAATTGCATTAACCCCTTATCTTGTTGCGACAGTGCCAGTAAATCATGGTGAGAAGCCAGAGAAGTTTTTAGGAACTAATTTTAAAAGATGGCAGCAGAAAATGTTATTCTATCTTACTACTCTAAACTTGGCTCGTTTTCTCCGTTAAAATGCTCCTACTTTGAAAGAGGAAGAAACCGACTGGTAAGTAATTGCTGCGGTCGATGCTTAGAAACGTATTGATTTCCTTTGTCGGAACTACATCTTGAACGAACTTGACAACACATTATATAACGTCTACAGCCCTATCAAGACGACAAAGGAACTTTGAGAGTCTTTGGAGAAAAAGTACAAAATAGAAGATACTGGCTCAAAGAAATTTGTGGTTGGCAAATTCCTAGACTTTGTGATGGTTGATTCTAAGACTGTGATTAGCCAAGTTCAAGATCTCCAACTCATTCTGCATGACATTCACGCAGAAAGCATGTCTCTCAGTGAATCCTTCCAAGTTACTACCTTAATTGAAAAATTACCATAAGGCTAGAAGGAATTCAAGAACTATCTCAAATACAAACGCAAAGAAATGTCTTTAGAAGAATTGATTGTGCGTTTGACGATTGAGGAGGACAACCGTAATTCAGAGAAGCGGGCTAGTAAGCATCCAATGGAGTCAAAGGCAAATGTGGTGGAACATGCTCCAAAAGCTAAGAAAGGGAAGTTTTCTGGAGAAAGTTCCTCATAAGGCTCTAAAGGGGGAAAACTAAAAAGTACAAGTTTAATGGCAAATGTTACATCTATGATAAAGAGGGACATCGGGCTAAAGATTGCCGTAGCAAGCGCAAAGGCAAAAGAAGATCAAGTAAGAAGCTTGCTCAAGCCAATATGACCGAAATAGACAAAATTTCCAATGGTGTTGATGACATAAATCTTTTTGCAGTTGTTTTCGAGGAAAACCTTGTTGGAAATCCTAAAGAATGGTGGGTGGACACTGGTGTTATTCGCCATATTTGTACTGACAAAAAGATATTCACATCTTATTCTATAGTGGACAATGGTGAACAACTTTTTATGGGTAACTCCTCAACTTCTAAAGTTAAAAGATAAGGAAAGATTATTCTGAAAATGACATTTGGAAAGGAACTCACTCTTAACAATGTGCTGCATGTACTGGACATTCGCAAGAACCTTGTTTCTGGATCTTTGTTGAGTAAAAATGGGTTTAAGCTAGTTTTTGAAAGTGACAAGTTTGTACTTGTCAAAAACGAGATGTATGTAGGAAAATGTTACATGTCTGATGGCCTTTTCAAAATAAATGTAATGACTATTGTACCCTTTGTTATTAATAAAAATACATCTCCTTCTTACTTGCTTGAGTTTTCAAATTTATGGCATGGTAGACTTGGACATGTTAATTATACATCTATGACAAAGAGGGACATCGGGCCAAAGATTGTCGTAGCAAGCGCAAAGGCAAAAGAAGATCAAGCAAGAAGCCTGCTCAAGCCAATATGACCGAAATGGACAAAATTTCCAATGGTGTTGATGACATAAATCTTTTTGCAGTTGTTTTCGAGGAAAACTTTGTTGGAAATCCTAAAGAATGGTGGGTGGACACTGGTGTTATTCGCCATATTTGTACTGACAAAAAGATGTTCACATCTTATTCTATAGTGGATAATGGTGAACAACTTTTTATGGGTAACTCCTCAACTTCTAAAGTTGAAGGACAATGAAAGATTATTCTGAAGATGACATTTGAAAAGGAACTCACTTTCAACAATGTGCTGCATGTACTGGACATTCGCAAGAACCTTATTTCTGGATCTTTGTTGAGTAAAAATGGGTTTAAGCTAGTTTTTGAAAGTGACAAGTTTGTACTTGTCAAAAACGAGATGTATGTAGGAAAATGTTACATGTCTAATGGTCTTTTCAAAATAAATGTAATGACTATTGTACCATTTGTTATTAATAAAAATACATCTCCTTCTTACTTGCTTGAGTTTTCAAATTTATGGCATGGTAGACTTGGACATGTTAATTATGGATCTTTGCGTAGATTAATTAATATGGAATGTTTACCTAAATTTGACATTGATTTAAATCATAAATGTGAAATTTGCATTGAGGAAAATTTAACTAAAACTTTTTTCCATTCAATTGAAAGAAGTACAGAACCACTTGAATTAATTCATAGCGACATTTGTGATTTTAAATCAATTTAAACTAGAGATGGGAAAAAGTGTTTTATCACTTTTATAGATAACTATACTAGATATAGTTACGTTTATTTAATTCGAACCAATGATGAAGTTTTGGAAACTTTCATTCACTATAAGAATGAAGTTGAAAATCAACTTGATAAGAAAAATAAGAAACTTAGAAGTGATAGAGGTGGTGAATATAAATCACCTTTTGGTGAATTTTGTAAAGAACATGGAATAATTCATAAAACAACCGCTCCTTACTCACCTCAGCAAAATGAAATTGCTGAAAGGAAAAATAGGACTTTAAAAGAAATGATGAATGCCATGTTAATAAGTTCTGGATTATCTTAGAACTTATGGAGGGAAGCAATACTTTCTACTAATTATATATTTCATAAAGTACCCCGAAAGAAAGCGAATCAAACATCTTATGAATTGTGGCATGGGAGAGTACCATTCTACAAATACTTAAAAGTATGGGGGTATTTGGCTAAAGTGGCTATTCCTAGTCTTAAAAAGATTAAGATAAGTCCTAAAACAGTTGATTGCATTTTCATTGGTTATGCCAAGAATAGTAGTGCATATCGGTTTTTGATTCATAAATCAGAACATTCTGAAATGCGTGTAAATACTTGTGGACTCGCTTTTTTCTCACGCCCCACCTGTCGAAAAGGGTTTGAAAAGAAGGCCTCACAATTCGGACTCCTGTGGTTTTGAATCTAATCTCACAAGTGCAATGTGAAACTGATAAATACCAAAGAGTCTAAATCCGGCAAACCTTTTTGAAAAATTGATTTTAAATCAAATAATGCTA